CATATACTAGTATGGGCCTTCTTTTGTAAATCACACATGGGCTTGCTCAGAAAGAAGTGGACGGAGAATATATACATTATTGGGTCATTTATCTAGGGAAAAAGCTTGATTTACCTCCCTCAACTATCATGGTCGTTCGATTTTTCTCCCCGACTAACAAAATCAGTTTTTTTACCCCCAACTTTTGAAAACAGCTCGTTTTTCCACTTTGAGTGTTTTGATGGTGGTTCTACTCATGTGGCGTTATGTCAGAGGGGGTAAATCGAACTAGAATTTTTTTATAAAAAAGTATGAAAAACCATAAAGAATAAATTTTCAAAAATTATCCAAACATAACAAATCTAGTTTAATCTTAGAAATTTTGTTTTAGCTCAGAAAATTATGAAACCAATTTTAGATTTTTTTTTTCTAAAATTGTGCTCTATCTTATGGTACCTAGCTTGAAACTGTTTGAATCTTGATAAACTTTATGGCCTCATTGGTGCAATGTGTAATATGAGTCGATCCAAATATTTGTCAGCCATCATGAGGTGTGAGTACTATCAACACTTTTTAAAAAATGAGATACAAGATTAAAAAATATCATGATGGCATATTAAAGTTGTTGGTAATGTATCAAATTAAATAAGTTTGCAAGTGAACCATGATTTTAATTTTATCTATCTATACTTCTAAAATATGATATTTCTTGATGTACTTCCAAACATTGACATGCTTATAAGTTATGATTAGACGTGGTTATTTAAAAATAAAATAAAAAGTACTAACAAATCGAGAAAAATATTGTTATGTGGTGAGTGAGTCACCAAAGACGTGAGTTTTGCCTTTGGAAGCACTAGTAGTGTAGAGTGACCAGGCCAGTCGAGCCCCTCTGAATTAGTTGACGGCTTTGATGACTCGACAGTGAATATTAAGGGAAGGAGAGCGAGGGGAAGAGGGGGCAGCCCTCGGCCTGATCATCCAATTAGCTCCAACGATCTAGGCATGGTTCAGTAGTCAAAGCAACTTTGTCAATGTTACTCATTGGGTCAACATGTTCTGACCCTATCTACCAATTTTAGAGTTTGAGGCTGACCCTGTGAACCATTGGCGTTACTTTTGTGGGTCGGGTCAAATACCCAATGGGTCAACCCAACCCATTCTCATCCCTAGAATGTGCCGGAGTCGACTCATTGGCTAGTTGGCTTGACCCATAAAAGCAAGGTTAGTAGGTCATAGGAGTCACCCTCAAAGTTTAGGCCCTGTTTGGTTGATTTGTGACTTTTGGAGAAGCTGCTGTGAGCTGTGGGCTATGGGCTGTGGAAAAGCAGCTGTGGGAAAAGCTCGTTTGGTTAGAGCAGTTGTAAAACTGTAGGCTGTGGGGGTCTGTTTATATGCAAATTGCTCGTAACAAAATAATATGTTCACTAATTCGCATGTAAATGACTATTCTAGAAAGAAAAATAATTTTCTACTAAAAGACTGGCAAACGTTTGCAGCAAAACTTTTCTACTAAAACTAGTATAATGCCCGTGCTAACGCTACGGTGATATTAGGTTATTCAAATCATACTCAAACATGGAATGAGATTGACTTATGATTCAAAAAAATGATACGAAGACAAAAAAACCCAAGCCAAGCCTCATATCTATCCAAGCCGACAGACTCAGAGTCCAACTCAACAGAAGCACGAGATGCCAAGCTTGGACAAGCTCGTTTACAGGCATGTTTCATAGAGGATTTAAACATCAACATCTTTTGTTTCACATGCTTGATCTCTATAGCTTGGGAAACCAAGGCAATGATCCCAAATATACAGGAAAACACATCTTTGAGAAAGCATGCTTAGGAGTCGAAATTGTTTGACAATTTATTAAAGGCCACCTGGTCACCACAATCCAAGTTATCTCCATAGTAGCAGGACGCTCATAGTAGCACCAAAGCCAGGATATCTCTTGGGCGTGTCATTCTCGGTGGGGATTCCAATTGCCAACAAAAACACAATGGTTTGATGGTTCCTTCCTCCAAATAGTTGCTTCAAATGCTAAGGTGGCATTCAGTTCCAGTAACTCTGGGTGGTTCAACATATCCTGTTTTAAACTTTTGCAAGAGAAACCAATAATGACACAAACTGATGTAATATTGCATACATCAAAGCAGCTGATGGCCAATGAAAATCAATTTTCATACATGTCTATATCAGAATAGCATGTTGGTCTGCTTGTTTCATAGCACCTTGTCACTTTTCAGATTCTAAAGTCACTGTCCTCAAGCGCAAACAAAGGCAAATCAGGGCCCTCAACCTGCACGAGTGTCCTGCCACTCAAATCGTGGAGCGTCTCTAGGTTCACATCTTTTTCTTTTTCTAGTTTGAATAATGGTAGCCATCATTGAAAGCAACATCTGTGCTGCAGCTATATAAATTTAAATTGCCCTCTTGTCCATCTAAATGAAAAAAATTACTAAGTTAAAAGTCATTCACCTCAATGCCACGTAATAGGCATAGATGGCAGTCACTGCAATACCCGTACACACAGATCATGTATATGTTCATCTAAAAAAAAGTCCTTGTTTCAGAAAAAGTAAATTTATTATAATTTCCATATCCACACAAGTTACATCATTCTTCCATATTTTGTTATTTAGATGCTCAGATCTCATTCTCTCTCTAATCTATTGGACCACATAAGTAATTCTTTCTTTCTCTAGGTTCACATCCTTTTCTTTTTCTAGTTTGAATAATGGCAGCCATCATTGAAAGCAACATCTGTGCTGTAAATAAATAAATTCAAATCGTTACCCTCTTGTCCATCTAAATAAAAAAATTACTAAGTTAAAAGTCATTCATCTCAATGACTTGTATTAAAAGTCATTCATCTCAATGACTCGTATTAAAAGTCATTCATCTCAATGACTCGTATTAAGCATAGATGGCAGTCACTGCAATGGACCAAGACCCTGATTGCAGCTAAGCTTTGAACTGATACTCCTGCTTGTGGTAGTCTGGCTGGAAAAGAAACTCTTAGAAACAACTTGTTCCAGAAAATAAGACCATGGCTTGGAATATGAAGACAGCTATACAAGTACAAATTTTTTGTTTGCAACATAGATCAGTTTCAATGAAAATATCTTTTCACCAACAACCTGAAACCCATTACCAACCACAAGAAAGCAACACAGGCTATGAACAAGCAACTTCATGGTTCATAAACTTTGAGTAATAGGCAGCATGAATCAATTGAAGCAAATTAATGAACACAGACAAAGAAAATATCTGCTGGGAATTTTCTGATGGCAATAACTTTGCTTATTCTTTTGTCAAACAAAGCATGTAGTATGTTTAGCTGTTTCTTATTTGAGAGTAAACATCATCAGTACGTATAAAAAAAGAACTTACAAAGTAAAGAACAGACTTGGTGACATACCCTGTAATAATAGCAAGGCTAGTCTCTAGCAAACTAAATTTTGCATCCTCGCCTGAAATCATTTTAAAAAGAAAAACAAATGCATTCATTTTAGTGAAAGAAATAAGCAAAAGCTTTTCCCCTAAGCATAAGATGGATGCAGATTAGAATGACTACCACATATGTGAAGATCTGACAGAGCCAATTAAAAGGCATTTGAGAATGCATATGTCATTAAAAATGGTCTGGATAGCTTTATCTAAAGTTTATTTTTCATCACCATGGATTTTCTATTTTTTCTAAAAATCTGATAGCAATGTATAGATATAGAAAAATATATTGTTATTTCGCAACAAACCTCAAAGGATGAAAATGTAGATCTTAAGGAATTATTGAAGTCCCTAACTTCAGTAGGGCCCATCAACCTCCTTTCCTCTCAACATAAAGGACATGCAGTAAATCATTGCATTCGTCATTTTTTGTACAACGGATACATGGTTTAGTTTTATAACTTATATGCAAAGGTCAAATATAAACAAATGGCTAGCACTTGTTTAGCAAATCAAACAAATTTCTTTATAAGCAACACTGTAAGCAGCGGCACCTGCGCCACCTGGTGTCGACGGTGTGCAACTGGGAGTCTTGGACGGGGTGGCAGAGTGCTGGGGCTGTGAGCCCCCGGCGGTGGAGACGGAGGACGACCAGAGCGTGTGGTACTAGGGTTGTGGAGCTTTTCGTTGAGGTGCTGCTGCCCCTCCGCTGGCAGCTTGCGCCGCTTCGGAGGCCATTGGCTGGCCTCGCTGAAACCCTAGCTCCATGAAAGCCCCTCCTGATGTCCCGCCCTCCGCGCGTGCCCCGCCATCCACGCACAGGGCGTGCCGCTGACCGCACGTGCGCCGCTCTCCGCAGCTGCCGTCCGGACGTCCGCTTCGCCTGCTGCCATCGTGGCTGGGAAGATGGCTGAAGGAGTTCGAACGATTTTTTTTCGGGGAAAAAGCGACGAAGGAAATTGAGAGGAATGGGCGGATCGAACCAAGACCGTGCGCACGGAGGGATGGGCGAGGACGGTGGGGGAGATGATGGAGCAGGAGGCGGGGATCTGCCCGCGAGGCCGAGATCTCTGCCTGGTCGCCGGTCCTAGCCGCCGCTGCCACCGCCGTCGCCTCCATCTTGAAACCCTAAGCGAGTCGGAACATGGGAGGCAGCACAGGTCGGGTGGAGTGGGGATGGGCGTTGTTCTGAGCTTTTTTTTTTCGAAAAAGGTAAAAAAAAATGTGGTTCGTGGGAATCGAACCGAGAGAACGGGGGCTGAGGGACGGGGAGCCGTGTTGTGGAGCGCTTTTGAAGCCTCACATCGAATGATTTTAGTAGAGACGGATTTATGTGTCCATTTTCCCCACAGTAACTAGAGGCTCTTAGTGGGTAACATTTTCCTATGGAGATCTAATATAGTTTTGATTGGTACATTATAGTAGAGATATTTCATATTAGATGTTTTATTCGTGGGTAAAAAACTATTTTGGGAAAGAAAAAAATATTTTTGCTAAGTGTTTTCTAAATTTTTGGTCCATTGTATTTCATGTTTTATTTTCTATACAGGAAAACGTCTAGAAAACATTAATGTTCTCCATGGAACAGAGCAAGCCACGGAGATGCGCCGCCGCACGGAAGGGGGCTCGCCTGGAGATGTGCCGCAGCAGGGGAGGGGGCTCGCCCGGCCTGGAGTGCGTCCGCCTGGAGATGCGCCATCGCGGCCTGGAGCCTGGGGTACTCGCGCTGCTGGTGCGCCCACCGCCGCGGAGGAGCACGTCGGGACCACGCGACTGGAGGCTGCTCGTCGGCACGACCGGAGGAGCTCGTCACGCGGGCCGCGTCGCGACTGGAGGAGCGAGTCGGAGGAGTGACTAGGGAGTCGGAGGCCACTCCAGCGAGGAGGCCGCTCCGGCGCTCCGGCGCGCCGCCGGGCAGGGTCCGTCGCCGTGAAGTGTGTCTCGCGAGTCTACGGACGGGAAAGAAGAAAACAAAGAACGCACCGGTATCTTCATCATAACTAGTGGCGGGTGAGTAATATTTTATCTAAAAGCAGCTCAAGGCAGAGGGTAGGTGTTTCTGGATTTGTAACAGCTTTGGGTCAAAAACAGATATGGCTTTTGAGTCATTTGGTTGAGGGCCTTAAAATCGATCCATACTACTCATTGGATCAAGGAGACCATAGCTTTTAGTTCAGTAAAATGGGTTGACTCACGACCACCCTAAGCCACCGGCAAGGTCGACCCATTCTCATCCCTAGGCCCATCTGACCACGCTAGGTCTGACCATTGGCGTCTTGGTGGACCCAATTTGTTTGTTTATCCACAAATACAAATGAATTGTAAGTATAGTGATTTGGTGGATCTCTTAGCTAAACATTAAATGATAGTCACAATAAAGCTAAAAAATTAAATGATTCACGGAGGCTAAGTTCGATTACTACACTTCATGTTTAATTGTCTGGCACTCGTTGGGTTGGGTGTGCATGCACACGTGAGGAGGTAATCTAGGGCAAACAAATTAACAGTTAAATATAAGCAGTAAATCATTGGCATATACTATACACTTATTAGACTAGAGTTTAATTTTGGCCTTTCGTGTCCGAAGCATGGTCGCACCTTAATTACTATGCACATCACTTTTTGACAACTTAATTACTGCATATCAAATTTGATGGTGTATAGAACCTTTACCAAGAGGGATGTATCATTGATCATCGGCAACGCACTTTGTCTTGTTCTGGCATGTGCTGCACCTGCACCACATGGAACAGACACGTACTTTAATTTGACTTTGAGTGGTAATAAACAAAATAGCAATAACCCAGTCAAGGAAGTGTTCTACGTGGGCCTCATTTTGTGGAAAGATGAAAAAGAAACGGGCCGCAGCTCCTTCCGAGAACAAAGGCATGTAGCCCAGCAAAGCTTGCTTTGGTTGGTTGTCTCTTCAAGCTCTGAGCCGGGTCTGCTCTCCTCATATATGAGTCCGTCTGAGTTTCACAAAAGAAGAAGAAAAAAAGAAGCAACTACTAAACAAGTTCATTTGGTTAATCGTATTGGCAAACAATATTTGGACACTTGTTTTGGACGAACAAGTTGCCTCTCTTCTTTTGGGGGTAATAAGAAGCTAAGGTAGAGGAAGAAGTTGTATCCCTTTGCAGAGAAGAAATGCAACTATATGCAATATATCTAGGGATATCGTTACTAATGAATGCTAGTGCTAGGATCTAATTAAGGAGCATTACATTGTCCACACATGCCGTCGATGGGATTAGCAAGAAAGATTGAATGCCACAGCCCACAGTACAATTAGTATTATATTTGTGGAACCAATGCAAACTACGCGATTAAATTAGTGGTGCATAACATGGGAGTGTTTGCGCAGCCATGCTGTACGTCTGTCTAAAACGGCAATTAGCACCTGATCTGATGATTACAGAAGTGGCAACCTTGGAAATGCCATGCTCTATCATCATCTATGGAGATGGAGTAGAGAGAAGGGAGGGAGAGTGAGCTAGAGATGTGAATGAATGATTGTCGGTCGGCCGTACTAACAACACTGCATATGGTTTGGTGAGGGGTTGTTGAGGGAGGCATGACAGTCGGAGACGACACTACTACTACTACTACTACTTTTTTTTTTTTTTTGCTTGCTTGTCTCTGAATCCTTGCATAATCTTGTAGGTAGTCGGTCCCCTCCCCAGTGGTCTTGTCCATCTTTTAACTTAAGAGCACACAGCACCGCCACCAGTGCTGTGTTTAGTGTTCACTGTGGCTGTGGGTGCACGCTGATGCTGCCCTTCCTCTTCCTCCCAGCCGAGCTAGCTGTCGAGGGAATGAATAATTTTTAAAAACTGAGGGAATGAATAATCCAGCACCTCATTATCTCATATCAGGCTCTCAGCAAAAATCTTATAATCATCACAATATTTTTCTCTCTGTTGGCTTATAAGCCAAACCAATTAAACGAACATAGTCGTAGCTCCTCGATCTTTACTTATGAAACCTGCAAGTCAAGGGCTTATCACGGCCCAAGCGGCGAGGCGTGATTTTTTGCAAAAAGCCCTCGAACACAAAAACCCAATCCAGCCTTTTGAACATTACCTTCTTTGGCCGAATTCGACGACTTTTTCTTAAATAACATAACAAAACAAATAAAAATTTAAAAATGCCAAACCAAGTTTTTTCTACACAACTACACAACACTGTAAACACATAACACATGTTTTAGTGTAATTTTTGCTATTAATGTGGATCTAGAGGCATTAGAGTTAGCTTTATTCAAATTGCTATGAAATTTTTATGCTACCTTACCCATAACACACATAAAATAAAACAATTGAGTGATTCTACCATTACGATCCTATATATACTTAAGAGGAAATTGAATGAAAATCACCGGCCAACGCCGACCAATTATGTGGGGACTTCTTTTTACTAGATGTACAGAATCAGAAACAGTGAAAAAAGTCCACGCGTGCAAGCATGGCATGCATATGCTATATTTACCCATGACAGAACTACCATTCGCGGTAAAATGTCAATTTCATTCCATGCCAATGGACGACTCCTGTATAAACCTCGAACATTCCACATCACATCGCATTCACCATGCATTTTTCAACTAAAGAGCCAAAAAGCACCGTGCTCCATGGGCCACGCATACCATACCAGCATTTTTTTTTGTTGGTGGCAACCATACCAGCATTAATTCATCCACGGCAGTTCAGTGCAGCGACACAAAGTGTTCAACTAATACGTGCCTTGGCAGCCACTAATGATGCATATATACATATACATAATCTCACACGCTTAATTAAATGTACCGAATGAATCTTTATTTCAGTACGTACATGCCTCTCTATCCATCCTATTCTATCTATCCAGGACAAGAACGAACGTACCTGCTAGCTGCAAGGCCAACGACAGCATCATGTGATTGCAACGCTCCTACTCGTACTGCATCTGCATGAAGCCTCTTCTTGGATGGACTTAAGTCCGATTCATCCCGGCCCTCAGGGAAGAGAACCATGCATGTGGCCATCAGCTAACAGGAATCCCAGGCCACCAACTGATAGGCTAGCTACTACTCTCTCTCTGCCTGTCTGTCTGTGTGTACAGTACACTCTGATGATGTTACTACCCTTCTAAGGCCCGCTCACCTCATGTACTGCACACCAGCAATCATTGTACCCATTCTCCAACCTTGCAACCAGGTGCTCTGCTGAATGCCATCGCTCATCGTCCATGCTTTTCAGATCTACTGCTGCACCTGCCACAAGGAGTTTAATTTCTCAGCAAATATGGCAAAATGGAATCAGGTTAACAGCAAATATATATACCGCAAGCTGCAGGCTCAACATCCAAGTCATTAGACCCCACGCTGGTTAGGACAGGATACCAAACGAAGCAACTATCACCACAAAATTTTTTCACCTAACCCTTTATTTGGTCTCTGGCAGCACTCATTCAGTCCTTTGCTGAAATAAGATAACGCGTAAGAGGATACTATATATTTTTAGCACTCAGTAGGGCCATCTTAATAACAATAAGATAACAAGCCGAAACACTGTTCCGATTGATTTGTTGTGAGAGAAAAAACACTGTTCCGACTGAAAAAACAAGCTAAAAAAACAGATTATAAGAGAAGCGAAAAAGAGCATCTGGGTACCAGCATCACATTAAATAATCCTGGTGCCACCACCAATTGCGTTGCTTTGCATTATTGTTATTAAATCTGAACATAGCTTCTGGCCTAAGAAAGATTGAAAGAAAGGTGCTACCTAGTGGCACCAATGATCACCTGGTCTATCAAAATCGGATTCAGAGCCTCATATTTTTGTAAGAAAAAGGAACACTCCTTCAAAATGATTTATTCGTACTGGCTGAGTCATCAGGGCACGTTGTCTGTATACTTGTTAAAGCAAAATAGCGCGCGACACAGTCCTAAAAAACAATACATGTGATGGATGACTAAGAAAACTGAAGTAAAATATGAAACGTGGTTAAAACCCCATTGATTCCTCGATGGTCCAAGTTGACCATTGGAAAAATGTTGATCATTTTGCCATTGCTAGCCAGATAGAATAGTTTTTTTTTATTACAAGGAGTAATGCTTATGCTAGGACTGCTAAGACATAAATACATAATATTGTTACAGTAGATCAGGACCAATGGCAACAGATATCATGATTGCTAGTTTGAACTGGGAAAGCCTGGAACATTTCTGAACTTTGTTTAACATTAGCGGCTTAATGACTTCAAGTTTAGTTAATTATAGTCCAGAAACATGAAAAAAGATTCCCTTTCGCTGGCCAGCAGCTTTTTTTTCCTTGCTTAATTTACAAAACTCCGTCTTTTCAAAGTGACAAACCCAGCTATTTCACTACTTTATTTATTTGCATCCATTCTGCCATGTTTGGTGTGATACTACGGTGGATTGACAGAACTGTCGGCACCAGAAACCGGCACTTGGACTACCTTTTTCTCCTTTTGCTTTTTCTTCAAACAAATATAGGACATGTGGGTCATACTGAATAAGCATGGGATCATTGTGTAGGTAACTTTGAAAATTTAGATTGACTGTATAACAACCTGTAAACTGATATCTAGAAAATTGAATTTATCTCAGTTCTTTTTTTTTCTTTTTTTGGCTAACTGGACCTTCTCATACTTATTTACCAAAAAGTTCAGATGAACCAAAGCAGGCAGACGTTACCTCCCATATGTGGTTAGCCCAGGGGTCAGTGTTCAGTTTGTTTGATTAGCAGTAGACCTGGGCCACTTAGCCATGTGCAAATGCGATGTCCCCATCGCAGAGAAGACAGGTGCACCATAAAAGAGGGGAGCCAAGCTAAGAAGCACATTTTTTCTGAAGGAAGAATGAAATCAGAAGCCTCTCACAAGATGACGGTGCTCCATGCTCCAGTTGGAGTGAGGAGCATCGTGACCTCCTTGGTGGCTTTCTTCATCTTGGCCAGCTCCATCGTCTTCCTCCTTGAAGAGCAAGTGCAAATGGCTGTCAGAGGGACAACTGAAGAGGGGGATGCTAGCAACGAGGAGTGCAACTGGTCGAGGGGGCGGTGGGTGTACGACAATGTGTCCCGGCCATTGTACAACGGGCTCAAGTGCGCCTTCATCTTCCCCGAGGTGGCCTGTGACAAGTATGGCAGGAAGGATGTCATGTACCAGCACTGGAGATGGCAGCCTCATGGATGCGACCTCCCAAGGTATGATGATTACAGATTTTCCAAGTATTTTAGCTCAAGCCCAAAAACTCCAGCATATCTAAAGGTGCAGCTCTTGAGAAATAAGCTCTGTCAGTATCAGTCAAGAATTTTCCAAGGGTAGTAAATGTTTTTGTTTCAGAAATGCTATACAACACACATGTGTTTTAGCACAAAAACACATTGATTTTTTTTTATCTCTCTCCCTCTCTCTATCTCACCGGTAACCACCGGCGCCGGCGACGGTCGGCGAGCTCCCGCGCCGGCCATGGCAGTGGTGGTGTGGCGGCGCCCGCGCCCGCGCCCAGCGCTGCCTCCCCATGCCCGCGCCGGCCATGGCAGTGGCGGCGGTGGCGGCAGCAGATATGTGATTTGTCCTTCCATAGAAAAAAAATTGTGATATGTGATCTGTGATCTGTGGAGGCCAGAGGCTGGAGGTAGAAGAAGGGTGGAGGCTGTTGGATCTTAATCTTATAGTGCAAAAAAAATCATGTGTTGAAATTAAATAAAACACATGGTTGTGTAGTAAACAGACTATTTTGTTTTATATATAGAAGCATAAAAACGCTGAGATAATCTGTAACTGAATAAAAACACAGGATAGTACTAGTACAGAAAAAAGGATGAAACAACTTGTACTGAGATTGAAAAACTGATCTCATTAGAGTTGTTAGCTGGTGGCCAACAAGAAACTAATTAAACGTGCATGGCAACTAATTGACAGTGAAAGATCCTACCTTTTATTTTATCATCTGTACCATTTCAAAAGCCTGTATGTAAGAGTAGAAAGGACTCAAGGAGACCATATTTAGCATAACTTTGCATGGAATTTTTGATATGCTGTCTGAATTTTACCTTTTCAAAACAGATTTGATGCCATCAAGCTGCTTGAAAAGCTGAGGAACAAGAGATTGGTGTTTGTGGGTGACTCAGTCAACAGGAACCAATGGGTCTCTCTCGTGTGCATGGTGGAGGCCTCAATACCTGACGACAGGCTCAAGATACGCATCTTCAATGGCTCACTCATCTCCTTTAAGGCATTGGTATGATTACCTTCACAAATCTGCAGGATACAAAAACCAACAATTTTATTTGGTTAGCCTGTTTGAACATATAATCATTTTCAGGAATACAATGCAACAATAGATTTCTACTGGTCACCACTACTGGTGGAGTCTAACAGCGACAACCCCATTATCCACCGGGTGGAGTACCGGATCATAAGGGCAGACAGAATTGAGAAGCATGCCAGTGTCTGGAGGGACGCTGACATCATTGTCTTCAATTCTTACCTGTGGTGGAGGAAGCAGAAGGATGACATGAGGATGAAGGTCATGTAAGTACATTTTCTATCCTTTGTAATCATAGATCATAGGTATTGCACCGTCAGTTTTGCATATCAGAAAAAAGACACCAGAACTGGTAATTTAAAATGCACTAACATAGTTACCAAATGCAATCATGAATAGGTAATAATTAACACTTGTATGTGCAGGTATGGCTCATTTGAAGATGGTGATGCAAAGTTAGACGAAATGGAAATGGTCGATGGTTTCGAGATAGCTCTCAAGAAACTAACTGAATGGCTTGGAGAGAATATTGACAAGAACAAGACTAAGATCTTTTTTGCAGGATCGTCACCAACACATTCCTGGTGAGAGAGATACCCATGAATTATTTGCAACACAAATAGTACAATACCAACATCTCCATGACATCCAGTGTTCACATATGTTACTTTCAGGGCTAGCAACTGGGGAGGAGATGACAAGAACAAATGCCTTAACGAAACAGAGCCGATCTACAAAACGGGATACAAAGCTGCAACTACAGACTACAGCTTGATGGCCACGGCCAAGTCCTATTTCCGAACATTGGAGCCGAAAGGCATACATGTTCAAATACTGAACATCACAGAGCTTTCTGACTACCGGAAGGACGGGCATCCGACGGTGTTCAGGAAGCAATTTGTTCCTCTAACGAAAGAGCAAATTGCGGACCCAGCCAGCTACGCGGATTGCACGCATTGGTGCCTCCCCGGAGTTCCTGATGTCTGGAATGAGTTTTTATATGGCTATCTTGTGCACAAATGATGTGTAAAATGCCAGGTTTGTTTTACCCCTTATATATAATGTACAGATGGCATACTCCATTTAGATTAGGATGCTCTTGTGCAGAGAATGGTTGGACCTATTACATTTACATGTAGAGACAGATAAAAAGGAGAAAAGCAAAGATCTGTCTGTGCATCACCTAATGAGACATGATTATGTAAATTTCGAAGAAATTTGCCATGGCAAAGAACAGCTTAAGAATGATTAACTGTCCTAGACTCATCGATGTCCCTGACATTCAGTTCAATTCAATTCAGTCATACCTGCAGGCGGCAGACAGGCAACAAAAGCACATTTGACATTTGAGTGGTGGGTGTAGGTCAAGGAAAGAGGAGCAATCTGAAGCTGCTGCTATCGCTGAGTCAGCCAGGCAGCCACAGGTTCCAGTTGTCGCCGGCCCGCCGCACGCAGCAGCCTACAACACCCGCGGAGGGGGCACGACGTCATCGCCGCTTGCAGGACCACCCTGGATATGGAACGCGCCGCCATGGCCACCGGACGTCCGGACACGGACACCCTCGCCGGCGCCGCCGCAGTTACAGTCTGCGGGCTACTAGCTGGAAGGCCAGCCCAACCCATGTCAGTAACACTTGGATGATGTGGCCCGACATTCAGAGCTCAGATGCTGAGTAACCCATGCTCAAAATGATTTAATAGAGCTCAGTAACTTTGCATTGCCATTATATGCAACAAAAGCAAAATGC